TTTTAAGTGAAATTCTGAATCTTCAGGCTAAAGGATGAAGGCTCTTGATTGTGGGAACATCTTACTCAGTATTGCTACACATAGCTTCTCCAATCCCTGGTGGCCTCTTGGAAGAGCTCAGCAATTCTTGCATCCCCAGTCTCTTCCTTTCCCATTTCCCCATGTGGCTATCAGTCTCCATCACTTTCTCTCAGAAGTTCATCGTGCCCCCACTGTATGCCTGGCCACCGCTCTGTCCCCTTCGGGGCCCATCTCAAGCATTTCCACCTTCACTTCTCCATGACTCACCAGATGTTTGCATGTCCTCTTCTGGGCCACCAGTGCTGCTATAGTTATACCCACATTGGTGGTTCTTAACCATGGAGTTCATCAGAATCACCTAGAGGGCTTGTGAAAACAGACTGCTGGGCCCTACCTCCCAGAGTTTCTGATTCAATAGGTCTGGGGTGGGCCCCAAGAATTTGCATTGCTAACAAATACCCAAGTGATGCTAATGCTGCTGGTCCAGGGACCACACTCTTAACTGCTTGATTTCATGCTTGTTATCTTCCACTGGACTTACTGAGATCAAGGGGCATTTCTTATACATCTCTACATCCTCAGGGAGTGTCTAGCAGCCACTCAATCAACAAATATTTATTAGATGTCTATTATGTGCCAGGCACTGGGATTCAACAGTTATATACGTATAGCCCTGCCCTCATAGAGCTTACCTCAAATTGTTGAAATCTGATCAGCTATACATTTTAATGGTGCTATGGAAATAACAATTTTCTGTTCCCAAATCATTGCTATTCCCATTTGTATGCTTCTCCCTTCTCTCATCACACCCAACGCTCAACACATAACTCCATAAACCAGGCACTATATCAGACTTTTGGTTCTTAGAAATTAATTGCTGACTAATTTGGAAAATATTTAGTGTAGTTGACATACTAGCAACAAACAACAAAACCAAGAAGAACTTAAGCACATATAATCAATATATTGAAGCAATTTTGGGGTAAACAATCTCAGTGCATTTTAACTAGTTGTTTTAAAATTAGTGTTACTTATTTAAGGGTAACATCTCCCCTCCTTCCCTATTCTATGCCCTACATCTAAGTTAAAATACTTACAGCAGTTCTCAACTTTTGAGCTCCCAAACCACCTACCAGGCAGCTGCATAAGTAGGGGGCATTCAGTCAACATTTGACCCCACTCCAGAGAGGTCCTATGTGCAATTCTGAGAGACCAAGAGGGAGGCCCTCTGAGGCCATGTGGTGCCATGGAAAGGTAAGAAATGAAAACAAAAGCACACATGATTGCCTCCATGTCTTAGTTATCTAATGCTGCTAGAACAGAAATACTACAAATGGATGGCTTTAACAAACAAATTTACTCTCTCACAGTTTAGGAGGCTGTTGTTGTTGTTGTTGTTATGTGCCGTCAAGTCAAACCCAACTCATAGCAACCCCTCCTTGGGTTTCTGAGGCAGTATCACTACGGAAGTAGGATTGCCCAACCTTCCTTCCGAGGAGTGGCTGGTGGGTTTGAACCGCCAGCCGTCTGGTTAGCAGGCAAGTGTCTTAGCCACTATGCTACCAGAGCTCCCGTTTAGGAGGCTAGAAGTCCGAATTCAGAGTTTCAGCTGTAGGGGAAGACTTTCTCTCTCTCTTTTGGCACTGGGGGAAGACCTCTTCTCCTTTCAACATCTGTGGGCCTGGAATTCTTTGGAGATCTCCATGTGTCTTGGCCTCCATCTTCCCCCGGGTCTAGGAGGTTCTCAGAGCAGCATCCCAGGTCCAAAGGACACACTCCTCTCCCAGCTCTTCTTTTTGTGGGGGTAGTCAGGTTCCTTCTCTCTACTTAATTCTCTCTTTTTTGTTCCCCATAGTACTATATTTTGTCGTAGGAAAGTTCACACAGAAAATTAACAGTTTTTATGCAAATTGTTCCATGACATTGGTTACGATTTTCACAATGTGTCAGCATTCTCATTATTTCCATTCTGTTTGTTTCCATTGATTTAGCTTCCCTGCCGCTCCTTGCCTTCCCACCTTTGCTTTTGGGTAAATGTCGAATGTTTGGTCTCATATAGTTGTTTAAGGGAGCACATTGCTCAGGGTGATACTGTTTATTTTTTAAGATAATCAATTGGCTGAAAGGTGACCTGAAGAAATAGCTTCAATTTCCTATTGAAAGGTTATCTCAGGAGTTCTTCTGGTCTCCATTGGTCCAGCAGATCCAGCCTTTTTCAAGATTTTGAGTTTTGTTCTACATTTTCCTTCTGTTCTATCTGGAATCCATTTATTGTATCCCTAGCCAGACAGTTGGTAGTGGTACCCAGGCACCATCTAGTTCTTCTGGTCTCAGGTCAGAAGATGTGGTTCCTGTGGACTGTTAGTCTCATGGATTAGTTTCTTCTTTGAACCTCTGAGTTCCTTCATTCTCTTTTGCTCCATATGAGTAGAAACCAACAGTTGTATCTTAGATGGCCACTTGCAAGCTTTTAAGAACCCAGATGCTACTCACCAATCTAAGATGTAGAACATTATCTTTGTGAGTTGTTACATTAATTGACTAAGCTGCCCCCCAAGAGTATGGTCTCAAGGCTTTTATCCCTGTAAACCAATCCAACAAGTTGTCTGGATATGTCTAGGAAGCCTCCATAACTGGGCCCCCTATGTGGTTTGTTATAGATGTGGATATATAGGCAGCACATATAACTGTGTATAAACATATGCCTACAGATACACCTATACATCCACATGCACTTACTTTCACATAACCTTTCTTTATACATATATGTATCCGTATCTATCTACATAATTCATGTTTTGGTGGTTGTTGCAAAATTGTATACCAAGTCAAACCCACTGCCATTGAGTCCATTCTGACTTGTAGCAACCCTTTAGGACAGAGCAGAACTGACCTATAGGGTTTCCAAGGCTGTATATCTTTACAGAAGTAGACTGCCTCATTGTTCTCCCACAGGGTGACTCGTGGGTTCAAACCGACACCACCTTTGGTTAGCAGTTGAATACTTTAACTACTACACCACCAGAGCTCATATACATAAAATTTTATGTTATAGCATTTCCCACAGTTGTTCTTTTTTCTTGTGTACGTCTTAGTGTATTTATTCTCTTATAGTTTAGGACACTAGAAGTCTGAATTGAGGGTGCCAGCTGTAGGGGAAGGCTTTCTTTCTTTGCTGGCTCAGGGGGAAGGTTCTTGACTCCATTCAACCTCTGTGGGCCTGGCGTTCCTTGGAAGACATCCATCTTCCCCTGGGTCTAGGAGGTTCTCAGGGTAGGGACTCTGGGTCCAAAGGACGTACTTTGCTCCTAGCTCTCCTTCCTTGGTGGTAGTCAGGTCCCTTCTCTCTGGTCACTTCTCCTTTTATTTCTTGTAAGATAAAAGGTATGACTCAACCATGAGTGTGACTTGAGTAAGGGTGTAACTTGAGTCATGCTCTCTTGAATACCTATGACTTAAGATGGAACCCGCATTAATGCTGCCCCATTAACATTCAGAGGTTAGGATTTACAATATACCACCAAAAGGAACATAATTATATCAGACCACAAAATGGAAGCTAACCACACAATACTGGGAATCTTGACCTGGCCAAGTTGACACACATTTTAGAGGGATGCAATTCATTCCATGACATCCACATATCCAGTCCAGTGAGTTGTTTCTCATGATGTTATGTTATGTCCCAAGTCAGTGGGCAATGGGCCACTGTAACTCCCTCCCCAACCCTATGAAAGCATAATACATGTGCAGTGATCTTTGGACTAGTTTTCTGCAACCTCCTCAGCAAATAAAAATGAGGGTAATTAAAAAGAGTGATTTAGATTTAATAGCACTTACCAAAGTATTCTCAAAACTGTGTCAATATTCTTAAAGTTTGGAAATGTTTTTTTTTTTTTTAAATCTTCTGTAAGTTCAAAACCATGAGATAGTCCATGTTAATTATAGGGAAGGGAAAAAATGAACAGCCTTTTATGAATGGTATTTTTAAAAGACTAGTTTTCATACTCCAGACTAAAATGTATCTCCTCCATTAAAATTTTATCCAAGTTTGAGGCTCATTATTGGTGATTTTAACAGTCTAGGAATAATAATCTCCTCCTATTGCTACCCCCAAATCAGTGATCTAATACCCTAAACCAAAAAAATCAAACCCACTGCCATCAAGTCAATTCCCTTCAGGACACAGTAGAACTGCCTCATAAGGTTTCCAAGATTATAAATTATAAATGTCTCTGGAAGCAGATTGGCTGAGCTTTCTCCCACGGAGTGGCTTGTAGGTTTGAACCACTGAGCTTCTGATTGGTAGCCAAATGCTTTAACCACTGCACCAAAAGAGTTCCTTTACAATACCCTAGTGTCCAACAAATCATTGTGATTTCTACATAGTAAAAGATTTAGGAAAAATTAATAGCCTTTTTAGAAATATACTTTTAAAATGGAGACCAGGCCTTCTAACTTTATTTATGTGAGTCACTCCTAATCAAGTAAATTCTGATTATTACAATGCTTTGGGTACAAATGTGACCTTTTGGTTAGCCATCCTCTGACTCTTAAAAGATGGCAAGGTTGTGATTTATTTCTGTGGAGCCGTTTACTAACTGGCACCCTTTGTATTTCTCAAAAAGGGGTACTATTCCCTGCTGAGATGTGACCTCCAGCAAATCAGTTTGTTTCATACTGGCTAATATAAATTCAAGAAAAATAGAAACCAATCATCCCTACGGGTGATTTAAATCACTCTCATTAAATTACTGCTACTCATTTAATGTAATAAAAGATATACTAAATGGAAAACACAAAAATCTAAAATAAAAATATTCTCATTAACATCATTCATTTGCTAGTAATAAATTATCTCCCTTAAAAAATCCTTTCCATTATTTACAAAATTCATCCTTATTTTCTGAGTTAACAAGGCTGACTTTTAAAAGTTCAATAAAAATTCTTGGCCTTGGTTCCAAGTTAGAGAAGACTTCTTAGTGGTTTCCAAGACAAAGCTTCTTGTTTTGGTGCTGTTCTTCTTTCAGAAGTATAGGACTCAACACACCATCTAGAATTCAAGAAGAAACATCAGGGAAACATCACTTTAAAATATGGGTATTTGTTTCCACCATAAGGGTTGTAAGATGAAAACAATGCTTACATTAAAGGAACATTCATTTTATTTTGTCTTCAAATTCTCAACTGTGGTAGAGCAGATTTTATAACTCATGGTGAGGTAATACAGTAGCTGAACTTTTAAAAATGCAATTCACTTAACAGTGTATGGCCAACGATGCATAAAACTTTTGGGGGCAAAACATTATTATTATTAGACTGGAAGAAACAAGAATGCACTTATTCATCCTCCATGTGGAGTTCCTTCCTTAGTGATGCAAACAGTTAACGTACTCAGCTGCCAACCAAAAGGTTGGAGATGTGAATCTACCCAGAGGCACCTTGGAAGAAAGGCCTGGTAATCTACTTCCAAAAACTTGGCCATTGAAAAACCCCATGGAGCACAGTTTTACTGTGATACAATTGGGGTCACCATGAGTTGGAACGGACTTAACAGCAACTGGTTTTCTGGTTTGTCATGTATCCTACATGGATAACCAATTTCCCAGTGCCATCTATGAGTATTCTTGCCCCTAAGATCTGCATTGCCATCTCAGTAACACATAAAGTTTCCATAAATACATGGGTCTATTTCTGAGCTCTCTGTGCTGTACCATGGTTCAGCAGAGGCCTCTCTGTCATCAATTACTACAGCTTCTTTCATAAGTCTTGACATTAGAGGCATATTCCCCATCTTAATTTTCTTTTCCAGAAATGTATTAGGTTTTTTTTTTTTTTTGTATACCATCAATTCCGAAGTGTAGTATTTTAATTATCATTTACGTCCAAAAGTTTTTAACTTCTACTATAGCTTTTTTCTTTGGCACAGAAATTATTTAGAAGCATGTTTTAAAATCAAACCTATGGGTTTTATAAGTCTAGTTTTTAAATTATTGATTCTAACTTAATTGTTTTGTGATCAGACAACCAGGTCTACATAATATTAATTCTTTAAAAATTATGTAGATATGCTTTGTGGAGTAATATTTGATCAATATGAAAGTGTTCTTGAAAATAAAATGTTTTCTCTATTATTGGGTACATGTCCATGTGTGTGTATTAAATCAAGCTTTGTTTTTGTATTGGACAAACCTGTAATATATTTGCTAATCACGGTCAATGGTGTGTTAAAATTTACAACAATTGTGGTAGATTTATCTACCACAAAATAATTTGTTATTTAGTAATTCTACTATTTTATAAGTGTGTGTGTATATATATATATATATATATATATATATATACACACACACACACACACACACATATTGAGGCTATATATGAGGTCCATATAATTGTAGAATTATTATACCTTACTAATGGATAGTGCCTAAGGCATTTGACTGCTAACCAGAAGGCTGGCAGTTCAAACCCATCAGCCACTCCTCAGAAGGAAGGTTGGGCAATCTATTTCCGTAGTGATACCACCTCGAAAACTCAAGGAGGGGTCGCTTTGAGTTGGATCCTACTCAATGGCACATAACAACAACAACAACACTGATGGATTGAAACTTTTCATCGTGTGAAGATTCTTCATATATTCAATTCTATTTTGCCTGCTTTTAATAGAGCTACTCCATATTTACTGCATTAATATTTGCCTGATATTTCTTCTTCCACTCTTTTTCTTTCCAAGCCTTATGTTTTACATGTTTCTCTTGTAGTTGAATTTTGTTTCTTTAAATAACCTGACTATATCTTTAATGGGCAAGTTCAGTCCCTTTTATATTTATTGTGATTACTAAAACATTGGTCTTATTTCTATCAAATTATTTTATGCTTTGTCTTTGTCCTACTTATTAAAAAATGCGTATGAAACATAAACTCACAGTTCAATGAACTGTCACAAAACAAACACACAGTTAACCATCACCCAGGTCAATAAGTAAAACACTGCCAGCAAGCTAGAAGCCTTCCTCTTGTTCTTCTCAATCACTAAGCCCTTTCCAATATCCTGATTTCTAACCACAGTCCTGTCCTCCTTTTCCTTAGTGATTTGGGAATAATAAATTCTGAATACAAGCCCTTTGTCAATTATATGTGGCAAATATCTTTTCCTATTCTATGGCTTGTGTTTGCACTTCCTTGGATGAACAGATGTTCTTAAATTTAATGTAGAGAAATTAATTAATATTTTTATGGTTAGTGTTTTTGTATTCTTTCCATAATGTTAGGGATCTATTAATTGACCCCTTCAAACACTGTAAATGAATATACGTTCCTTAATCAGATTCACATATTTCTTTTCCTGATCAGTTTTTTTCTGATAAGCTTTTGAAAAGATGGAAAGACACAGTGGCTACGTCTTTTTTTCTAGACTGTAGATAAAAAATTTACTATTTGAATAAAATAATTCAGACTACAGAAAAATCAAGATATTCACATAGAAATCATTTTTATGGAGATGTTCTATTTCCTGAATTTTTCAAGATAATCATACCAGTTTTTCAATATTATCAAAAACATTTTCCTTATTATAGTAAACTTCCATTTATCTAGAATCCAAACAATGAGAAAGATACTATAGCTGATATTTTTTATAATATTGTACAGTGGTAACTAATGGTCAAAACGGAACACCTAAAGAGTTGTGGTAATGTAGTGCCTAAGGCACTTTACTGCTAACCAGAAGGCTGGAGGTTCAAACCCACCAGCCACTCCTCGGAAGGAAGATGGGGTAATCTACTTCTGTAGTGATACAGCCTCAGAAACCCAAGTAGGGGTCGCTATGAGTCGGGTCCGACTCGACGGCACATAACAACAACAACAACAAGAAATTATAAGATCTCCAAAGATTATATGACATCCAAACTATCTTGTGTTAATATGCAAATGATAAACCTTTGAAGACTGGTAATTCATTTACAGTAGCTGGGATAACTCTTAGTTAAAACAACAAGACCATTTCGATTCTCTAATCAATCTAGTTAAATGTAGATTTATTCTAGTAACCACATGCTGTTATTGTTATGTGCCGTCGAGATGACCCAACTCGTAGCGACCCCTCCTTGGGTTTCTGAGGCAGTATCACTGGAAGTAGATTACCCAACCTTCCTTCCAGGGAATGGCTGGTGGGTTTGAACTGCCAGCCTTCTGGTTAGCAGTCAGGTGCCTTAGGCACTACGCTACCAGAGTTTAATTTGGCCTTAGAGCCATCTGTACTAAATATATATATTTTTCCTTTTAGTTGCCCAAGAGGCTTTCACTTTGGTATGGAAGAACATGTTTATACTTTTAGATAAGCATAATTTATAAATTCAATTTGTACATAATTAATGTGTATGAAACTGTAGATTCTATAGGAGTAATTACTAACTAGCACTTTCCCTAGCACCTGCCATATAGCAGATACACAAATGTTGTGAACAAATTGTATGACAAAAATCTAATCTGCAAAAAGAGTATGTTCCATCTATAACCATCTGATCATTAAAATTCACTATGTATCCTTTCTCTCAGCAACAAAGCTAATGTCAATATAAAACTTGTAAATACTTACTCTGTCTCCTTTCAAGCTCATTTTGTTCAAGACCACACTCTCCTGAGGGAGTCAGCTGCCACTAGAAGAGAGCACAAACATAGCATCTATATGTTTAAAAGGGTTTAGTAAACAGCATTTCATCACTTTATTTTTTAAATACCAAAACAGCTTATAAAAAATAAGAAGAAGGAGCCAGCACGTCCATACCAACAAAATCCTAATGTCACCTTGAATAATCCTGAACTTGACCCCTGAGATCAGAATCAATGCTCATAAAGAAGGCAAGACCTTAAAGATCCTTCATGTTCATTTTACAAGTAAGGAAGTAGAAGACCAGAAGAGTGTAGTGACTTGCCCAAGGTTATACTCTAATCAAGGGCAGCAATGGAATTAGAACCTGGGTTTTCTACTGTCCATGCACAGTACTACAGAATTTCTACCACATGATATTATATCTCTAGGTCTTATCAAGAAACACGCTGCCATTGAGTCGGACCCGACTCATAGCAACCCCTCCTTGGGTTTCCGAAGCGGTATCACTACAGAAGTAGATTACCCAACCTTCCTTCCAAGGAGTGGCTGGTGAGTTTGAACCACCAGCCTTCTGGTTAGCAGTCAAATGCCTTAGGCACTACGCTACCAGAGCCCCCCTAGTTCCTATAGGACCTTAGGGAAGGCCTAAATATTAAAGGATGAAAATATGACCAAGATTACTTTGCCTTTAAACATAGTTATTACAGTGGAACCTGTGAGAGCCGGAACCCGATGGGACTGCCTTGTTTTTCCAGGTCTCACAAGTTTTCTGCCTTCGACAGGGTACAGTCTTTCCACTTTTCCATTGTTCTCCACTAGTGGAAAATATTTGAGTTTTCTTTTGCTGACAGGTTTCTGACTTACACAAGTTCTGGCATTTGCAGGTTGGACTTTATATATCATACAATATGTTTATATCATATCATGTTATAGGGTTCCTCTGATTATTATTTTCCTTCTCAACCATTCGGGAAAAAAAAAAAAAAGGAAGCCACAAGATTCCCAAGTGTTACAGATATTATTGGAGGAGTAAATAAGAAAAACTGAGTGTAATCATTATCTCATAGCACAGCCATTCCTAGAAATTCCCTGCATTACAATTACTAAGGCCTTAACCCAAAAGGCCCTGGCATCGTGCCCAGAATGACATACTTGTGTGCCCAATCACTGGAAGCCTCTCCTATCAGCAGCAGGTAGTTAATCACACCACTTAGTTAACATACTGGGCCTTGAGGGGGCATGAGACTCCAGACAAACATTTTACCAAATATTTAAAAATCCAGGGAAAGGGCAGACATTTAGATCCAGCTGGTCACCTAAAGAAACAAAATGCTAGGGCTGGCACTAGGAAAGAGAAGAGGATTTATAAGGGGCAGAAGTTATGTATTTAAAAAGAAAAAGCATGTTTCAAAACATGCCAAACAACTAAAATCCAATAATTTGGGCAGACAAAATAAAAGTCAATAATGCTGAATTTTAGAACTAAAAATTATTTGAGGGTATGTGTGTGTGTGTGTGTGTATATATATATATATATATGTATATATATATGTATATATATATGAACAAACACTTCAAAGTTGTTTCTGTCTATTGTATTCTTCAAACTTAAATAATGTTATGTATACTCCTTTAGGGAGCTCTGGTGGCATAGCGCCTAAGGCATTTGACTGCTAACCAGAATACTGGTGGTTCAAACCCACCAGCCACTCCTAGGAAGGAAGGTTGGGCAATCTACTTCCAGAGTGATATCGCCTCGGAAACCCAAGGAGGGGTCGCTATGAGTCGGTCCGACTGGATGGCAGTGAGTTTTTTTTTTTTTTTGGTATACTCCTTTAGGAGTCATGGTGGGCCAACAGTTAAGCACTCTGCTATTAACTGAAAGATCAGTGGTTCAAACCCACCAGGAGTTTTGCGAGACAAAAGACCTGACGATCTGCTCCCATAAAGATTTCAGCCTAGAAAACACTATGGGCAATTTTACTCTGTCCTAGAGCCCCTATGAGGTGAAACTGACTTGATGGCATAGGACAACCACATACTCCTTTAAAATAACAATTCTGAAACAAACGAATAATTCTCCCAGACTCCCAATAATATGTTTATGGAACATAATTTGAGAAAATCAACTTATAAGTATTTGCCTTATGATAATTATATTTCAATTTTGAATTATCACTAAAGAAAGTAATTTTCTACTCTGTTAGAGATGAAATTATCTTTTAGGTTATCTTTCAAATGAAAACACAAAATTTAAAACTATTACACACACACTGCCATCTAGTGGGATCTGACTCATAGCGACCCCTCCTTGGGTATCTGAGGCAGTATCACTATGGAAACAGATTGCCCAACCTTCCTTCCAAGGAGTGGCTGGTAGGTTTGATCCACCAACCTTCTGGTTAGCAGCCAAATACCTTAGGCACTATGCCACCAAAACTCCTAAAACTATTGCAGAACTCATAAATCCCTTCTAGCACAGTCCCTAAGGCATGTGACTGCTAACCAGAAGGCTGGTGGTTCAAATCCACCAGCCACTCCACGGAAAGAAGATCAGGCAATCTACTTCCATAAAGATTTACTGGTTCAGAAACTCAATGAGGGTTGCTATGAATTGTAATCAACTTGATGGCAGTGGGTTTGATTTGGTTTTAGGTTATCTGAGAAGCAGAAATTTATACTGAATCCTTTTATTCCTTTGCAATCATACAGAAATGTATGTTCCTAACACATTTTTCCCTTTCAAAAAATACACCATCTGTCTAGTTTAAAGTCTAAGAGGGTTCTGTAACACTCCAATGAGGCTTTCCATGGAGTTTGGGACTCTGGGTCCAAAAAGTTATATAAACAGTCAAATATTGAGTGAGAATGTGCTCAATAACATATTAAAATTTTTATAAAGCAAAATTAATCAAACTAGTGAAAGAATAGATAAGATTCTTTGTGTCAGTATTACATACTACTGTCTATCTCCCTAACAATCAGGCTTGGTACATAGTAGATATTCAATAAAATGAATGAATATATGAACACATCAACCACAGAAGAGAAAAGATAACCCAAAAGCAGATCTCAAAGGAGAGAAGAAGAATTATTAAATAAATAGGGCTGAGAAAAGCTATTATTTGGGGGAAAACATTAAGTAAAATTCACACTTTAATTCAAATACCAAATTAATCTCTGATGGTTCTCAATCTTGTCTTCTGTCTCTACAATGTTCACATCTACAACATATAATCCATCATCATAGCATTTGTCCATACACACAACCATCAAAGTAAAGTGTATCAAACCCCTGAGACTATGGCCAGTAGTTGCCCTTCAGATCTGGAATTAAAGCCACTTCTGTGGCTTCCAGCCAAACAAAAGACATATGAGCTGAACATTTATATTAGGTAGATAACGCTCCTTGGAGAGAACAATCATGGGAGAAAAGAAAGGCTGTGTATGCACAGGGAGACAGCTCAGGGGGCAGGAGTGCATGGGAGGGAAGGACACAGGGAAGAGGTAACTATGGGGAGGAAGTGGGAAAAGAGCTGTTGCATTGTGGGAAATTGCAGTCAATGTCATGACACAAAGCGTATGTGAACTGCTGTGTTGTTGTTGTTGTTATGTGCCTTCGAGTCGGCCCCGACTCATAGCGACCCCTCCTTGGGTTTCCGAGGCAGTATCACTACGGAAGTAGGATTGCCCGACCTTCCTTCCGAGGAGTGGCTGGTGGGTATGAACCGCCAGCCGTCTGGTTAGCAGGCAAGTGTCTTAGCCACTATGCTACCAGAGCTCCCGGAAAGTAAATTTGCTCTGTAAACTTTCACCCAAATCACAATTAAAAAAAAAAAAAATGAAGTGTATCAGAATTTCTAAGAGTGTAGGCAGGGACTATGTAATTTGAAATCTCCTCCTCCCACTCCATGTAGCCTTGAATCAAGAATCATTAAATATGACACATAAAACCCAATAAACATGGAAAGAAAATACCCCTCCAAATAAGAGAGAGTAAAATCAGAAGAATAATAGTAGATATTAAAAAATGAAAAGATCAATAGATTTAACTACATAAAATATATAATTTCTGTATAGACTGACAGCCTTCCTTTGAGTACAGGAATAAGACAAGGATGCCCATTAGCATCCCTCTTAGTCAATATTGTACTAGAAGACCTAGCCAGAGCATTAAGGCAAGAAAGGAAAATAAAGGGTATCCAGATTGGAAAGAAATAAAACCATATCTATTTGCAGATGATATGATCTTATAAGTAGAAAATCCCAAAGATTTCACAAGAAAGCTACTGGATCTAATAGAAACATTCAGCAAAGTGGCAGGATACAAGATCAACATGCAAAAATCAGTTGCGTTCTTTTATACTAACAAGGAGAACTCTGAAAAAGAAATCAAGAAAATAATACCATTTACAATAGCCCCTGTGGCAGTTAAGTTTGTGTGTCAACACAAAATGCATCAAAGAGCTAAATGTTAAAGCTAAAACTACCGAGTGTCTAGAAGATAATGTAGGAACAAAATGATGGAATGTAATTTTCTTTAGAAACAGATTATCAATCACAATTACAAATACACAAACAACAGAAAACAGATAACTGGGACCTCCTAAAAATTAAATACTTGAGATCATCAAAAGCTTTATCAAAGGAGTAAAAAGAGGATGATGATGACCCCAGGTGATTCTGAGTGTCTCGCTGATGCCATCACCACAATGCACTGACATCCCCTACCCCCGGGGCCAGGAGCTCTAGTACCTGGACTTGGGAAGAAGCTGATGGGCAGGAGCCCTTAGTAATCCTTCATCCCAGTATCTCATTTCTCATCTTTTAGAAATTTTAAAACATCCACCAAGGTATCAACTTTGGATAAAGTATGAGAGCCCTGAACGCTCAGCCAGGACAGTGTCCCGTCTGAGAGTGTCTGCATTAACTTGATGATTGAAGACCTAATGATTACAATCTACCCCTCCTCCACACCCAGAAGTACTGTCAACTTCTTGCACCATTTCTTGCACCATCTTTACCACAGGGACTTTTCCCTCAGTCTTCCTGCCTCCTCCTACTTCTCTTGCCCTTGTCTTACATTCTTCTGATCTCTTCACTCTCCTTACAATTGAAGAGCTACTAAAATCATCCACTAAGCAAGATACTTCAGACTTCACAGTAGCCTATCAGTTGCAGTCTTGCAGCTGTAGGTTATTTAACCTTTATGCTGAGACTCTTAAAAACTTATTTCTTCCCACTTTCTAGGAGTAATGAAGAGATAGAAAACAAAAACATAGAACTGGAGAGTTCTCTTTGATTAACTGGATGTATGCTTTTCATATTTTTGCAAAAGAGAGGCATCTTTCCTCTCTCTCTCATCTTTCAATTCCATATCACCCTCTCTTAAACATTAAGCTGTGATAAACTTTAAATGAAACAATTGGGGAAATAAAGCAAAATTACAAGATAAAAATAAAGTGGTGAAAATTTGTGGTACTTCATACACACACAGAAACTGGATACTATGTTCATATATTAAAAACATTTAAACACACACACACACACACACACATATACATAGTTTAATAAACATTAGGTGACTTACAAATTTCAGGAACCCCTTTCACAAACTGATTAGATAATAGGAATGTGAAGATGACCTTTATAAACAGTTCTATTATATTACAGGCTGTTACTACTCATTGCAAATTCTACTATATAAATTTTATATCAGATGCTAGGATTAAATGATTGGATATCATAAAAAGCAACATACTAGAACAACTGGTGAAACTTTAATAGAATATGTGGATTAAATGGTAATAATGCATCAATGTTAATTTCCTGATTTTGGTGCTTGAATTATGGTTATGTAGGAGAACATTTTGTTGGAGGAAATATACGATAAAGTATTTGAGGGTGATTTAGTATCATGTCAGCAACTTATTCTCAAATATTTCCAGTGAAAAAAATGTTCAAATTGCACTGTTTTTGCAACTTTTATATATGCCTGAGATCGTTCCAAAATAAAAAAGTTTTAAAAAAATGAAATAAAAAAAAGTGGAATTTTTCCATGAATTACAATTACCTCAGTGCCTCAATCTTTTTTTTTGAAATACCAAATGTGAAATTCTAAGTATTCTTCCTGATTTTTCTCATGAGAAAATATGTGTATATGACCCTGTCTTCTGGGTAATCTTAAAATATTTTCACCTCTTTCCACTATTCCAAGCCAGCAGGGAAAAAGGAAAAGTGAGTCCAAAAATTTATCAGCCACCAGATGGCATCCAAAGGTCCCACTGGCTCATACAAAAGGTCAGTATGCAACTCTCTCCTCATGAACATTGGTTATTAGTAAGTGCTTACACATAAAAATAAACTCAACAACAAGTCTCTTGAAACTCTTTAAAAGGGTTGTTGTTGTTGTTATGTGCTGTCGAGTTGGACCCAACTCATAGCAACCCCTCCTTGGATTTCTGAGGCAGTATCACTACAGAAGTAGATTGCCCCATTTTCCTTCTGAGGAGTGGCTGGTGGGTTTGAACCGCCAGCCTTCTGGTTAGCTGTCAAGTGCCTTACGCACTATGCTACCAGAGCTCCCCTTTAAAAGGGTAGGAATCACTAATTTAAAATATGTAATGATACTTAACAATATCATAGAAAGTATGCCTTGAAAAACTATCTACTTACTGTAAATTTGCTAACACCCTCAAGTTCTCCAAATCTCATGTAAGAAATGTCTGCCTTCTTTTTTCCAACATCTACGTCCCCTGCATATATTTGTTTTATGCCAGCACCTTTAATTAAAGGTACACACTCATCACACGGGCACTTTGTCACAAAAATCATGCTTCTTTCTTCTGGTTTTATTTCTTGACACCTAGAAAAAAAAAATTTTTTTTTTAATACCAGGAAGGTAGTTCCCAAAAGAACAAGTTTTTTTTTTTTTTTTTTCTGAGAGAAATCTTTAAACACTGAAATTGAGCTGCTTTAAACAAATTTACAACATCACAAACAATAATCAAGCCTTATGCTTGCTGAACTAATGAAAGTTCAAAATATGTAAAAACTCACAAAATAATAAATAAATAATATGGATGAAATATCTAAAAAAAAATGTTATAGTACAACTTGGGCATGGTAATTATCATAACTAAAATTCATTTACTGATGCAAGCAATTGGTAAAATGTCCAGTATTAGATTACAAAGTAAGTGAAAATAGAAAGAAACAGATATCAAAAGAGAGAAGTCTGGTAAGACGGCAGAATAAATAAGCTATCATTCTGACTTTCCTTACAAATACAAGAAATACAACAAGGAAATGATGCTTGGCTTTGAGGGACTATGAATCAGGGAGCACAGGAAAGTACTGGGGAACTGCAGACAGGCAAGAATCAACAAGTCAACAACAAGTCACATCCAGCAGGAAAATCACTTCTCCCATTGTCCCTGCCCCTCCCTCAACCACGTGGGCTACTGGTTACTAAGACCTGGGGTAGTGGCCCTAGAAAAAGAGCCTGCTTTCCTACATATCATAGCCCCTGCCTCTACAAAAGAAAGGAACCCAAGCTTCTGCCCCAAAATCAAAAAGGCAGACTGCCCTGGTGAGTCTGTTTGGAGTGTGCTAGCACTTTCCCCAACTGGACACTGTTGGCTACAAGCCTACTTCAAATTGCAACAGAAGGCTCATACAGTCTGCTCCCATAGTAAACACTCTACCACTTCCTTGTGTACCCCATAGCTCGGACTCCAAAACCAACAAGACAGATCTCGTAGGGAGTCAGTTCAGGTCTGTCTGTGCCTCCATTAGGTTGGTGCTAAGGACTGCGGCTGAGGCTGCTATCTGCTAGGAAGCAAGTCTTGAGTGGAGGCTGCACTCACACCCATCAATCTACCAGGGGGCTCTGACAGAAACAAGACAGACTTCCATGGGAATTTGATCAGAGCGTTACTCCCATTCCCCAACCTGGTCATTATTGGTTGCCAGGTTGCTGCAAACTTCTACAGAAGGTCTCCGCAATAGATTGGAGTCTGCTCTCATGCTCAGCCCTCTACCTCCGTCCCTGTGCACCCATAGCTCAAGCCTCTGAAATCAACAGGCAGACCTCCCTGGAGATCAGTTTGGGTCTATCTGTTCCCACTTACATTCGGCACTGAGGACTGCTGACTGAGGCTGCTATGCACTAGGAAACAGGCATCTTTCATGGAGGCTACACCCACAGGTAACACACTATGAGGCAGGCTCTGGAGATCCATATGGATTGGGACTACTCCCTTTCTCAAGTAGTAACTGTTGGCTGCTGAACCTTCCTACTGAAGGTTCCCTACAGTGGAGACAGGAGGTGGGTCACCTAAGTGGAGACTTATCTCCCAACCACCACAGGACCACTGGGGCTCTAAACCCAACAAGACAGATCTCTCAGAGGTCCTTCTTGGGAGTGCTAGCCCCTCCTCTTCCTGAGAGAGAGGAAAGTCTGTCTGTGCTTCACATGAATGCCAGCTCAGATATAAGCAGCCCCCTTAAAGCAGGGAAGGAAACCTCACGCAAAATGATAGGGCTACATACAACCTCAAAGAGGGCCCTTTCAGTGTGGGTTTTCTGACTGAAAATTTAATTGCTGAAATAGAGAAAGGAAGGGAGTAATAATAACCAGAGAGGGTACTGTGCCCCTTGGTGGACAGGCTGATTAGCACCTGAGTGGCAGTGCCTGCCGATGGACAGACTGATCACAGCATGTTCTCTGGTGTGTCTGAGAGAGATGAAAGTTAAAAAATAAGATCTGGAACTTCCAAATCCCAATCAAACCAGGGAACTAGAAGGAACTATCACAGAAAGGGAGAGGAAATGGTAAGCAAAGGCCAAAGGCTCTGCCACCCAAGAGTTTCTTGAAAAAAGTAGTGTGGGCAAAAACACCAAACACTGGGGAAAACTGAGTAAGTCCATACCCTCAAAATTCCAGTGCCCCACCAAAATATCAAAAGACACACAAAGAACAGTGAAACAATGGCTCATCCAAATGAATATGACAAAGGGAATTAAAGCACATCTAGTGATAAGCAAATAATGAAAAAAATGGAAGAATATAGCAATCTTAAACATTATTAAAGAACTAAGGGAAAAATAGGCAAAAAGCTAAAAGAAATAAGGAAAATATTTCAAGAACAAAATAAAGATCTAAAAAAAGAGATACTGCAACTGAAAGGGACAATAACTGAAATAAGACATACAATTGAAGGACTTACCAACAGATTTAATCAGGCAGCAGAACCAGTGAATTTGAGGAAAAGAGAGTCAAAATTCAGATGCTGAAGAGCAAAACAATAAGTGGCTCAAGAAGATTAAGGTCAGTTTAATGGAATTATGGGACAACAAGAGACCTAATCTATGCATCATGGGACTGCAAGGAGGAGATGAGAGAGAAAGGGCCAGAAAGAATATTTGAAGAAATAATGACAGAAAATATCCCCAATCTAACAAAGGTCATGAATCTACAAATTCAAGAAGTTCAAAGAACCCCAAGGAGCATAAACTCAAAGAGATATACACAAGGACACATCATAATCAGGCTGTCCAAAAGTACAGGTACAGAAAGAATCCTGGATGCAGAGAGAGAGAGAGAAAGAGAGAAGCAAACAGTCCCATACAAAGGATACTGTATAAGAAGCAAACAGTCCCATACAAAGGATACTGTATAATTTCTCCGTAGAAACACTGTAGGAACAGAAACCAGACAAGGATGCCCCCTATCACCAATTCTATTCAACATTGTACTGGAAGTCCTAGCCAGGGCCATAAGGCAAGAAAGGGAAATCAAAGACATCCAAATTGGTAAGGAAGAGGTCAAACTATCCCTATTTACTGATGATATGATCCTATACCTAGAAAACCCAAGAGACTCAGTCAAAAACCTACTGGAACTAATTGAGAGATTTAGCATTGTGGCAGGATACAAGATCAACATCCAAAAATCAGTTGGATTCCCCTACACCGGCAAAAAGATTGCTGAAAAAGAAATAAGGAAATCAATACTGTTTACAATGTTGTTGTTGTTGTTATTTGCCCTCGAGTCGGCCCCGACTCATAGCAACCCCTCCTTGGGTTTCCGAGGCAGTATCACTATGGAAGTAGGATTGCCCAATAATAGCTACCAAAAAAATAAAATACTTGGGAATAAATCTTACCAGAGACACCAAAGACTTGTAAAAAGAAAACTATAAAAAACTACTTTAAGAAACCATAAGAGATCTACATAAATGGAAGAACATCCCATGCTCGTGGATAGGAAAATTGAACATTGTGAAAATGTCAATTCTACCCAAAGCAATCTATACATTCAATGCAAT